GTGGAAGATATCAGTGGCGATTATTTGCCATTCTCGTTTTGGTAGTGGTCTTTGTATCATAGGTTCTCTAGTTTGGTCATTTTTTAGCTCTTGGCATGCTGCGCATCTTCTTACCATGATTCTATATCATTGTTTATGTTAGGCCAGTACACTGCTGTTTTTGTTAGTAGTTGACATTTGGTTGTGCCTTGGTGAGTTTAGTGAATTTGATGCAACATGTCTTGCCTCATGGATTCAGGTACTATTATTCTACTCCCTTTCCAGATAATTCCATTTTCGACAGTTAGCTCATCACTACATGAATAGTATGGTCCAAGATTTGTGGGGAGCTTTTTCAATTTTTCAGTCCAGCCCTTGTGTATTATTTCCATTAATTTGTTTAGAGTGGGATCATCTTGTGTGTTTTGTTTTAGCTGTTCTGTTTTGTCTTTTGTGAAATAACCTGGGCTATTTTAATTCCTTTTTCTATTTCAGTATTTTTAGGGCATGTATTTTCAGACATCCGTCTTGAGAGCCCATTGGCCAGTAACATTTCTCGACCGGGTTTGTACTTTATTTTCATATCATACCCTTTTAATCTCAATAAAAGCCGTTGCAGCCTAGGTGGTGCACTCATTAGGTTTTTTTGGTGGATTATTTCTAATGGTTTGTGATGGCTTTCTACAGTGAAGCTTTTACCATACACATAAGTGTGAAACTTTTCTACACCATTAACTACTGCCAGTAAGTCCCTTTCTATATTGGCGTATCTCTGCTCTGTTTCTGTGAGAGCTTTATTTTTAAATGTGACTACCTCTTCTTCTTGGAGTATAGGCAGACCCAATGCTTTTAACGATGCATCCACCTGTAGTGTTACTTCTTCTGTTGGGTCAAAATTAGTAAGTGTTACTTGTTTACAAATGTCATCTTTTATGCTTTCATAAGTTTTGTTTGAGAGTCCGCCATTCAAATAGTTTATCTTTTTTTAAAGATCTCGTAGGGATGCTGTCTTTTCGGACAAGTTAGGACAAAACATGCTCATGTAGCTATACCGAGGAAGTCTTGGATTTCCTTTACATTTGTAGGAGCCGACATTCGTTTGATTGCTTCTATGCGGCTGGGATCAGCATGAGCGCCATTTTGGTCAAAAATCATGCCAAAGAATTTAATGTGTGATTTTTTGATTTTTTTTTTCACATTTGCCCGGATTAAACACTAAAGCATGTTCTCGAGCGACCCGCATCAAGTTTTTATCATGTTCTTTTTCGTTTTTACTATGTACCGCAACATTATCAGATATACCGGTCACACCTGGACATTTTTCAATTATTTGGTCCATTCGTGCTTGGAAGATGTCCTGTGAAACATTTTAACTATTAAGGGGAGTCGTAAAAATGTATATCTCCCGAAGCCTGGTGTTATAAATGTTGTCAAATAACTTGATTCTTTGTCTAAAACTACCGACCAATACCCATGCCTCGAATCAAGTTTCGAAAATACTGTATTACCACTAATGTTTTGCATGACTTCTTCTAGGGTTGGGGTGTGATGGTAGGTTCTTTTTAGTGCTGTGTTTAAGTCTTTGGGGTCTAAGCAAATTCTCCAACACTCATTGGGTTTTTGTGTATGCTATTTACCCAGTTAGTAGGTTCTTCCACTCTTGTAATTACTTTAACTCCTTCTTTATATCATCTATTATTGCAAAAGGGCAAGTTCTAGGCGCATGTATTATAGGAGCCACATTTTCATCAATGATTAGTTTTAGTGGGTTACCTTTCAGTGTGCCTTTGAATCTGTCTGGGTACTTCCTTTTAAGATCATCAAAATCTGTGATCACCTCATCATTGTGTACCTCAGTTTCATTTAGATTCATTTCACAATTAAACTGAATGATATACTTCTTCAAGGTTGGAAGTCTCATGATCGCTGGACCTTTGGAATCTGCTATGAAAAGCTTTGCATTGCATGTTAAGTTATTTGTGGTACAAGGTATATAGCCATAATGTTCTATTGTAGTTGCATTATATGCAGTTATCCTAGTTTTAGACATCTTAACATTTGTCAGGCAGATCATTCTTAATTAATTTCGGGAACATTTATTTAAATAGGCTAAGTGGCAAAATAATTCCCTCTGCACCAGTATCAAACTTAACATTTAAGAAACATTTCCTGTTATTTCTTAAGTCTACTCTTACTTCAGTATATATAGTTTAGTGTCCTCATTATTCTAATACTGTGTTCATTATTTTCATTCCCATTGTTTACACTGTCTATTTTTATGGTAGAGAAAATAAGTTCATCATCACTGTCATCTTGTTGTTCACTCATCATCATTGTGTGCATTTTCCTTGCTGGTTTCCTTTTGTATCTTGCTTGTTTGTCCAGTCTAGTCTTCCTTGTAGTTTGAGTTTTGCTCCTGCATGCTATGCTGAAGTGATTCCTTCCTCCACAGGCATTACAATTCTGTCCATATGCTGGACATTTTCCATAGTCATGAACTCGTGCCCATCTGTAGCAGGGATTTTTCTTTTTCTCTACGCCATCACTGCTACCAGTACCAGTCATTGAAATGCCTACTCTGTCTACCTTTACTGCAACTGCTTTTTCAAATTGCTTACTTATGCTTTTTGCGATCTCATTCGCTTTGCATATTTTTATCGTTTTATCCAAGTCTAAGTTCTCTTCTCGTAACAGCTTTTCTTGTAGACTTGTGTTACAAATACCGTATACAGTATTCGGTAGTCACATCTTTTATGAGCGACTGCATTAGGTTATCAAATTCACATGTTTTTCAATTCTGTGACATACTGGTCAGTATTTCCACCTGCATGCTGCTTTCTTGTAAAGAATTTATGTCTCTCAAAAGGTAATTTTACGTTTCAGGTTACAATACTGCTCAAATTTCTCTGAGACTTTCTGTAGGTTTAGCTACAGAAAGTCAGCATCATTTTCAAACGTGAATGCATTATATATTTGTAATGGTGGAGCGCCAATGACATGCAACGGTAGTGGCGTTTGTGTTGCTTTCTTGTTCATACCAGACGCAACTGAATATAGTTGGAACCGCTGTTTGAACTTTTTCCAATTTTCTGCTAAATTGCCTTTAATGTTTAAGGGCTCATGCTGATTCAATTTCGCCATTATATTATTTTTTCCAACATCCAATAGTACTTCCTATGTTGATAATGTTCTCATGCGATACACTGATCTTCGAGGCTTACGCACCGAGTGCTATGACGATGTGACCCATCTGGATTCAACCGCACCGTGCACATCAATCACTGGATCAGCTCACAACAAAATCAACAAAAATCACAGTTTCCGTCGTCGATCTTTATCCCAAGCTGCCACCATGTTATACTGTTTGGTTGAAATGATGCGATGTAGACAACCGTTTGGGTTCACAACATCAACAACAAGAAACGTGCATACCACACATTGGCTTTGTTATGTGTAGACACCATGTTGAAGCCATCTCTGCCTTGAGGCAAAGAGTATAAAACTGCAAGAGGTCCGACTGCCCTTATTTTGTATACAGGCAATGGAACGTTAAAAACTACTCCCACGAAGGGGCGTGTCCTTCATAAGAACGTAAAAGGGGTTCGTATCTAACGCGTGCCGCGTTTCGAATTTCAGCATAGACGCGCACCATGCGTTCGATATGAACGCACTTTACGTTCTTTTAAAGGCCACGCCCCTTTTGGGTAGTACTTTTTTAAATAGGATTGCGTTCCAAAGAATCCCCGGCAGTCGGACCTCTTGCAGTTTTATACTCTTTGCTTGAGGGCGGAGTACCAATTCATGAGGGCAGCAAACACATAAACTGACTCATATACGTAACACTAGGAAACTAAGATATCTTATGTCTTAGTTTTCTAGATCTTAGTTTTTAGACACCCCTGTCCCTGCATGGAATACCAGTCGCCCCCTTGTAAAGTCGCCCCTTACAAAGTCGCCCCCTTGTCAAGTCACCCCCGTCAAGTCGCGCCCCTAGCAAAATCTTCCCCTAGCAAAGTGGCCCCCTAACCAAGTCTCCCTCTAACCAATTCGCCCCCTTGACTAATATTGAATATTATTATTATTAACTTACCTTTGAAACCGTTACTTAGAACTTATCTAGGCCTAGGAGAGAGCTATGACGTCCGGTTCGGCTGTGCACTTGTTCGGCCGTAAGATATTCAATGCCCAAATAAGGGTTATTGTATGGAATGCCGAGTAGTGTACATGTAACCAATGCGTGAATTAGATATCACAGTGCAATGTTGGCCGCAGGTTAGGGGGTATACTGTACAGAGAAATCATCTGTAATAAAATCGAATTTCTGAAATAAAGAGTATAAATAAAAATGTATTGTTTTTTTTTACTTCTACTTAGAAGAACACAATACCGTTTAAATATCTAATTTTGTACATTATTATTAAGATTGATTGTTTTTTGGAGTAGTTTTAATAGCATAATTTTTAGTTAAAGAAGTGTTTTACATTTATTTTATCCTGAAAAATATTGAAACTTTATTGCTTGGAAGAAATTTAATTTAACTATAGCTGTAACTTATCAAGAAAGTTGATTTGTATCTTGGAATAAAGTATATAATATAATTAATTAATCCTGCATTATAATTATATATGTACGATTAAACAAGCGTACCTATTGCAAGACGAATATACGTTCTAGATAAAAGGGACTGACTGGTTACCGTATTTAAATAATTAATTAATTAATAATTAAATCTACTGTAGGCATGAATGGAAACAAATTGCTTTAAATAGGTATCAAACTGCCAGTACTAAGTTGCCTAGTAACAATTAATTCATGGGAAACGTTCCCACAAGTAGGGTCCAATGATACTCTTGGGAGAATAAAGACACATGTACGCCGCCAATTCAATCGGAGACGAAGTCTTTGTACGTTGCCAATTCAGGAATGTTATCGAAGACAAGGAAATAATGTCAAATGCTGAAAATAGCCGACTGGCTTGAACTCTGTACATGGTAACTGTACGTACATGTGCAATGGTTCAGAAATGTAGTTGTTCCTTCCCCGAGTTGTTCGCCTATACAAACCCTATAATGTAGGGTTTGTGGCCATGGCCTTTACGACGTGTTTTTTTTATTAATTATTTTACATAAGCGTAATACACACATTGACTGATCATTAACCTCTGTTGTGTGTTATAACAGTATTATTGCTCGTTAAACCAGGTTGAACTTTTAATCAGTTGATGCATTCGCATTAGGTGATTCATCAATCGGCAGACACTGCACACTTGTTCTGTATGAATGGACATGCTTTGCCCTATCTAATGCAAGCGTAACAACGGGTACGTGTATTTCTATTGTTATCTTCTCAATGAAGGGCGTTTACAGTTAAAGTTCTTGATTTTAGGGCGATGTATTTCATGTTGTTTTTTTTTTTCTAAAATATTACACAACATCAATGAAAATAAAAACAGCGTCGGTCGTCAGCGTCAGTCGGAAATTTTGAGTGCTGCCGGACGGGGCATCAATAATGTGAGTTTTTTGTGGCGTTTATATACATTCTGCTTTCAATCAATCGATCAATCAATCAATCATTCATTTAGGAACGTATAGGCCTAGAAATAATATACAACGAAACATGAAGCATTAAATACTGTAAGCTTTAATAAAAAAACTACGAAAAATATAATAAAATTTGGCAGTATATTAACATTATCAACATTCTTCTTTTCTTCTTCCTCTTCTTCAATATAAAAATATACATCGACACTATATGAAAATAATAAAATCCTTTGTTTTGATTATCAACTTATAAATTCGTTTGTTTCAAATAGATAAAGCGAAATAGGGCCTATTTTATGAATCTTAAAGCTGTATTATAAACTTACACAAACCCAATAAAATCCACTGTTCGTTTGTTTCAAGTAGATAAAACGAAATATATGAATCTTAAAACATGTATTAACTTGCACAAACCTAATAAAATCCACTGATTTGTTCGCAAACTCATCGCAGTATTAATGCCGTAGAATTGCTTAAAATCACATTAATTAATTTTCAGCTTAAAGATGATTGCATATATAACGTGCATTCGTTTGTTTTAAATAGATAAAACGAAATATATGCCTTCTAAATAATTAATTATTAACTTACACGGGACTTACACAAACTTAAGTAAAATCCACTGTTGTTTTAGCAAACTAATGGCAGCATAATAATGCCAGGATTTCCTTAAAACCACATGAATTATTTGGCAACGTAGAAGACCTAACAAAAACACGAAATAATGGATACTGAGCACCAATAGATTAACCACACACACACACACACACACACACACACACTCCCACCCACCCACATCTAGATGTGTATAAGAGACAGCACACACACACCCACACACACACACACACACACACACACACACACACACACGTACGCCTAGTTGGCGTTCCATACAGTATTCCGGCCGAACTTGTTCATGGCCGAACCGGTCCTACACCGGCCTCTAGCTTGCTCTCTCCTAGGCCTAGATAAGTTCTAAATAAGTTTCAAAGGTTAGTTAATAATAATAATAGGCCTATTCAATATTAATCAAAGGGGCGACTTGGTTAAGGGGGCGACTTGGTTAATAAGGGGCGACTTTGCTAGGGGAAGACTTGACAAGGGGGAGACTTTGTAGGGGGCGACTTGACTGGATCCCCCTGCGAGGGGTTGGAATAGGGGTAGTTGCTTTGCAGCACATTTTCAAGATTTACAGGTATGAATTTATACACCAGCTTTACCCCTTGGGGGGGGGGATTGCCAGATGAGATTTTTAGGCATCCACAATTTATACTTTTGGACCACAATATTAGGGAATGGCAATCGCAACTTGATTGGATTGAGTAGTGCCAAAGGGCGAGCCAGCGAGCATGCGAGCCAATGTGCGAGTCATGCGAGCCAGCGAGCCATACATTTAATTTTTTTTTTCTTCAGGTTATCCAGTTTTGCAAACACGTAGGCCTAGCCTATATTCTTTGGCCTAGTAGATGCAAATGAATAACAC